CGGTCATTGTCCACGCCTCCATTCCATATAACAAAACCGGGAATACATAACATTTTAGAAGTCGAATTTTGAGAGGTAGGGTGAGGCTTTTAGAGGTGAAAATTTGCTTCATGCTAGTGCTCGATGCTCTTGCCTTTTCTACTCTTCGTGTTCAATTCTTTCATTGTCTAATATCAGTTGCTGTGGTGGTTGTTGGGTTTTGCTTACTAACATCCATTTGGTTTTTGTGATATTTAGTCTGAGTCCGTATTGTGCACTTGTTTTTTGTATCTTACTCATTAGGCAACTCAGTTCCTCCATGCTACTTGTTAGAATCACAGTGTCATCAGCATACCTTATGTTATTAATTATTTCTTCATTTATCTTTATGCCTTCTGTGCTTACCTCCAGCGCTGTCTTAAATACTTCTTCTGAGTATATATTAAAGAGAATAGAAGACAAGATACAGCCCTGTCGTACCCCTTTCTTGATCCCAATTTTATTGGTCCATGTAGATCCTACTTTCACTTTAGCTGTTTGACCCCAATAGAGACTCGCTATTGTTCGAATGTCTCTGTAGTCGACTCCGATCTTATGGAGAACTTCAATTATGTTTTCGTGCTTTACGTTATCGAATGTTTTTGCATAGTCTATAAAGCATATGTACACGTCTTTGTTCATATCTCTGCAGCGCTGGATGAGTACCTGTAGACTAAAAAGTGCTTCTCTTGTCCCAAGAGAATTCCGAAACCCAAACTGCGAATCTCCAATGTTATCCTCGCATTTTTTGCTTATTCTGTTGTAAATAACCTTGGTGTATGCTTTCGAAATGTGGTTAATTAGACTTATTATCCGATGTTGATCACAAGACTTTGCTTTTGGTTTTTTCGGTACGGCAATAAAAGTTGACTATAGCCAGTGTTCAGGAAACTCCCCGCTGTTATAAATATTGTTAAAGAGTCTGACGAGTGAGTAGAAATTGACTGTTTGTTTCGCACAGCATTTTCAATACTTCCCCGTATACGTTATTGTTGCCTCGTCTTTTGTTATTTTCAAGACCTTTTAGTGTTAGTGTTAGTGTCTTAGTGTTTGCAACATTGAAACCGGTTATTTTTGGGTAGTTTTTGCATAAACATTTGTCGCTTGAATTTGGATTCCACGGATATAATCTATAAGCTTTAAATCCGCTAGAGGCAACTTTATGCTTTAAAGAATATAAAGCTGCTTTAAGGATTTGTTCAAAATGTTGTTTGGAAAATTTACAAAATAGATTTTTATGACGCCAATTCAACAGTGATTTTTTCCACATTGCCTTAAGTGCTCTACAGTTCGAGATATCTGCAGGCTTTAATACCCTGGTAGAGTTAGTGTAAATAGCTATGAGAACAATACCAAGCTTTGTACAAAGAGTACTAAGTTGATAGCTTAGAAGAGAAGTTGACTGGTCGTCAACAAAGAAAATGACAGGTAGTTCAACATTTTTGTTTTTTTAAATATGGATGAAATACATTTTGTATATAATATATAAAATTTTCTGTTTTCATCCAATCGTTATCGCTTAATCCGATTCCCCATGTGTCTGGAACACTATTAAAAACTGCTTTTGACAGATGCTTGTTTGGGTAAATTATTAAAGGTGGAGTGGTATCGCCATCAGCCGAAAACGTAAACATTACTGTCAGATTTTTTTTTTCGCTTCTCCTTGGTCAACCTCGTATACATTGCGGGAACCTTTTGGTGTAATACCTTTACCCATTTTGGGACAAAACTAGAAACACGTTTCATCGCTGTTGTATATTCTGCTTGGAACATTCAAAACAGAAAAGAGGTTTTTTTCTTTAAGATTTTCTATTTCGGAAAACCTTATATATTTTCCTCAGACACATTTGCTGAAGCCGCAGTTACTCCTTCAGGTGTCTGTTTCCTGAGTATTGGATGTCTCTTTAAAATTAGATTATACCAGTGTTCACCTAAAATGTAGTTTTTAAATGGAGTGGTTCTATTATCTACATCCAAAAAGCTTTTTACAGAGGCCTGCATATCAACCTGTAGCGTTTACGCTACTGACTAGTCCAACTAAAACCCCTCAAAAAACTTCTTGTGTACCGCCAGCGATCGATTTTTAAATGGACATTTTTCCCCACACGCGCAGTAGTCGCTTAGAAAGGAAGATTGGTGGAGTCTGTACGAGAACGATCAGTTTGGTCAAGAGACTCACTACGCAGACACGCCAACCGGTGAAATTTTTTCGCCTTCAAAGTGACGGAATTGGAGCAAGGAACATAATTTGGGGGAAGAATAAAATAATTCATAAATACAAATAATAATAATAATTAATTTATTAAAATCAAGATTCATGTATAAGAGAAACATATAAAAAGGAAGATTTTTTCTGGCGTGCTGCGGCTCCATGTAAGTAAATCATTTCATACGTATTATCTCTTTATCATACAATCAAATTTATCATTGCAGTTTAGTATTTCTTTAGAGATTTATTTTTGAGTTCCGAAATAATTTAAATATAAAATTTCCTTGATTTACTTGCAAAGAACATAAGGTCATTTTTTTATATAGTCCAACTTAAATTCCTATTTATTCCATATTATCTTATTAGGTTTTTTGGTTTTCTTTTTTCTCTAATTTTTTTTGGTGGAATATAAAAAGGTTCGACAAATATTGGACAGCCTTCTGTATTCTGCGCATGTTCATTTCATGGCGCAAGCCTGTCATGTCTACGAAGTAACTTCGGAAATTTTGACATGTTGACATAACCTAATGTTTTAATGTTTTTGTTTTGGTGCAGTCAATCTATGCTGCTACACGTATTAAATAAAATAGTAATTAAATCTGATAATTCTTTTTTGATTCCGTCACTTCATTTGAGAGTATTCTCTTAGGAATATTCCCTCAAGGAATAGTAACAGAATTTCTTAAATAGTTAGCAACTCTCCTGGATTTTGCCGTCACTCCAGATAGACCAGTGACTGGTTTTATGCCCAGACTCACCTGGGATTTGTACACTTTTCATATGCATATGATCAGGTGAATACAATTTTGATATAATATAATTCTAAGATATTGGAGACAGAAATAAATTGGGATTTTAACTAGGAATTCAAGAGTACTGACCAAACTCACTTTTTTTTGATATAATATTTTGTAATACAATATATTTTGAGATAATACAATTTTGATATTGGGAGAGGGAAATAAATTTCATGTGGTTTTTAAAACATTGTATAAGGAGTATTGAAGACTCACTTTTTGGATGTAATATATATTTAATATAATTGTAACAGATTTATCACTTTTGATATCTTTACAATATGGTAATTAGTATCTCATTTTAGTAGAACTATTTAAATTTAAATTACTAACCTTTAGTGTTAAGACCTTGGCTACCATACGGACTATTCTTGGTGTTACTAATATTTTAAACTTTATTTGGGCCAGTGGTAGTGACTATTCGCTTGTTAAGGGGCTATTAGGTCCTATTGTATCTTTACACTACCCACTACCACTGTTATTTAGCTTTGCATTAAATGTAAATTGTTAATACATATATATCGATATACACATTTTTTATAAATATATTTATTGTTACTATTTTGAGTTTTATTTCAGTTGTACTTAACCAGTATATAATATAGCAAAACAAGATTAGTATTTAGTATTTTGTATTTCAGGTTATTATCTCCAGAATCATTTGTTTCCAATCATTTGTTACTTTAAAATCTCAACTATTGTTGAGTTGGCGCCCTTCTTTTTCTCTTCTTATTGTCCTTTTTCTATAAATTTATTCCCAGTGACCTTCTTTAGTTGTATCACGTTAGATATTACCAGGTCTCATTTCGTTTCTTGTCTCATTAGCTCAGTATCCTTGCTATCTGTTTATATCTTTAAAGCCACAATCCAGTGCATTGAAGCTAGCCCGAACACTCACTTGAGATTTAGTGTCTCTTTGGCCATTTAACTTTGTTCCTCTGAGCTTAACCATATTTTTAATATTTTCATCACCTCTCTTCCAGTTCTTCTGAACTTTGTAAGTTCTACACTTCCAAAAACCCAATACTCCCGGAGTATTGGGGTTTCAAACCTTTCTTCGTGGTTTTTTATGGCTATTAAAATCCATTCTACCAGTTTGTTTTCTTCATCTCTTGTTAGGTACGTATTTGTTTCAAGTATTGGTTTTAAAAATTTGGGACCCAAACGATATTGAAGTGTTTGCCTTGGAACGCCATACTTAGCGTTACAGATAGCGACGATCTTCTTCTGTTTACAATTCCTCACATCAGTTAATGCTTTCGGAAGTAATTCCTCGGCGTATGATTGTGTATATTTTGCATGTTTCTTTAGTTTTGGCATCTAGAATAGTAAAGAAAAAAAAATATTTTTTGACTAGTCAATGATTTATTCTTTTTTCCACGTACAATTATTATCAATCTCGAATTCAAAAGAGGCGGCAATTAACGTTTACCGTCGGAGACCAATATTAGGAATAACAAAAATAACTCCAATTCTATATATTGGCACCTATACCAATAATCAGATTATGTTAAATTATGCTTGCATTGTTAAATGTTGGCACCCTCTAAATTGACGCGAATCGACATTTTTATTAAGATAAAATTATGGTTTGAAAAACCTTTGGAAAACTCGATTTTATATTGTGTACGTATACTGGTTTGAATAACGAACCAGTATATTGGTTTTTTTTGTTCTTGATACTTTATGGTAGAAGAACTTAATTTCTGTGTTTCGGAACTTTTCTGAGATATTTTCGGTTTTTCTTTCATTGTCTTTGCCGGGCTGTGTATCTTTTCTCAAACTGTCTTTGTTTTTCTCTATAGTCCCGTTTGTTGTCTTCATTATGATTGGATAACATTAGTTGGTTTGATTTAACATATTTAGAATCCCTTTCTTCCTCTTTATGTCTCTTATCCTCTACAGGTACATTTTGTATGGTTGTATAATTAATTTGTAATTGATAAGCTTAAAATTCATGACTTTCTCAATTTATTAAAAAAAAAACTTTACAAAAGTTTTATTTACAAAGAGATACATAATTAACAAATTTTTAACAAAAACAGTACAGTGTACCTTAAATAATATCATCATAATTTTTCTTCCATAATTTCTTTCTTCTCATTGTTCATTCCCTTAAATAAGTAAAAAAATATAAATTAATGAAAATTTTTTATATCAATCCTACTAGTCCCTTTCAATAACAAAAAATTTAAACGCAAACAAACAAATCAAATTTGGATAATTTATCATGAAATTCATGGACGGAATATCAGACCTCAGATTATATAAAACACTGGTTATTACTACTTGTAGATGTTTACCAGATTCTTCTTTTTGTGGTATGTGACTTTAGGAGCTCTCCATTATCTACTGCTCAAAACATCTTTAACGTCAAGAATCATCCACTTTCTTTTTACATACACTGTTCAACATTTTACATGTTGATATATTAGTGTCAAGTGCTGTTGCGCTAAACATCTCCAACCACTCACAGATGGCACTCGTTTCTCGGGGATTTACAGCTTTGTGCTAGAGTCAGTTGTTCATACTAATTTGTGTAAATATCGATTACTATTCACTTTATGTAGTATGTAGGAGTGTCTTCCAGTGGAGAACCTCTTTATTTGGCCACTGTAAATTTTTAATTTCTTATGAATAAAAGAAAGACAGTTGATTTGATTTCACGTATAGTGCCTCTGTATATTCTCATACGGATTTTATCTTATCAGAAATCATCAGAGCGACTGGTACAGAAGCTCTAAACGTAAAAACAAAAAAAATTCCGCATCAATAAAATGGCTTTTAAGTATGGACGCTATAGCGACATCTGTTAATAAATCAGATTAGCTAATCAGAATTTAAAATACAGTTGGTTTTACTTAAACATTAAATATGTTTGGTATATCATTTGGTTTAAAACGTTTCAGCCTACGAATTTCATGATTGTTGACAATGTAATTTATTACATCTTTTTTTACCGAAGGCACTTCTAGATGTTTTTTATAAAGAAGGATGGAACATACCATGGAACATTTACTTTAGATCTTATCCTGGAAGCGTTGGAGGATTGCAATATTAGAATTGCTAGCGGTGTCCCATAGCTGAATACCATATGTCCATATGGGCTTGATCATCGCCTTGTATATAAGCAGTTTGTTATCCAATGTTAATTTAGAGTTTCAAACTAATTAACCAGTACATATGTCTAAATTTAATTCTCAGTTGTCTTCATTTGGTAATAAGTATAAGTATCTTGTGTCGTTTGCCTTACACTCGATTGCTTGCTTTTGAGTGTGACTGGAAGACATTCACCTTACAGTTCTGTGCGAATTAATGGAACCATAGGCTGTTTTAATGAAAAAACAGTTTATTTAGAAAACAATTATATTTTGACAAAACTATAAAAGTAAACTTATATCATTTAGTAGGAAATATGTCCCCCTTTGGCTGCAATTACTGCTTTGACCCGTTTTGGCTTAGATTCTACGAGCTTCTGACAGTTTCCAGATATCCTTTCATCTCGAGACCAAACCTGAATGACCGCTTCTATCATTTTTATTTTTGTAGTACTGTCGAATTTGCGCAGTCTAACTTTGCAAATGGTCCATCAATTTTTATTGGGGTTGAGGTTTGGCGAATTACAGGACCAATCTAAAACAGTAATCTTCTTAATTTAAAAAAATTCCATCATTCGTTTTGACTTGTGACAGCAGAGTTCTGTTGACGAACTCCTCAGAGCTGACATTTTTGAAGTACTGTGTCCAAACGCTGTTCCAACATGGATTTGTATTTTTGGCTGTTCGCCATTCCATTGATTGGTACAAAAGATCTAACCTTCCATGTGTGAAAAACATTCCCAAACATTTTTTTGACGGGATGTTTTAAGGTTTGGTCAATATGAGATGGTGTAAGGTTTTTATTGTCAGACCACTCAATTTCGTCCACTCTTTCATCATAAAGTGAATTTCATCTGTAAATAGGACTTCCAATCGTCTACAGTACAATTAGAGTATTTTTGGCCCACAATAGCCTTTGTTTCTTCATTAGTTCAGTTAGAAGCTGTTTTTTTCTGTAAACGAATTGCCCTTCTACCATTCTCCAAAAGTCTTTTCCGAACAGTCAAGTCATGAATCACTACACCTGATGCAGCTAGATCTTGTTGGAGCTCTCTTCTTGTCTCTCTTGGGGCCAATTTGCTCTTTCGAAGTAAAAATTCTTTATCTGCTGATGTTGTTTTTTTCTTTCGCATTTTTCTAACCTATTCACATCTATTGATCCCGTTTCTTGTTTACGCTTCAAAACCTTTCTTACTACTCCCTAACTTAGTCCACACGTTCTTGCGATTTCTCTTTGTGACATAGAAGTGTGTTCATTTAACGTGATAATCTTTTCACGCTTTTTAGGCGTAGTATCCATGATGGAATCAAACAAAACGAACTCACCAATTATCGAAAACAACACAAAATACTACAAAACAACACAAACTTAGTGAGAAATGTCATAAAACAGCCTCAAATAAAAGGCAGAGAAAGGTAAGGTTATGTTTTCAATGTTTGGTCAGTTGTAAATGTGTGGCCAGTGTTGCCAACTGTGGATATTGAAACATGCCGCAATGATTCCATTAATTTGCACAATACTGTATGTTATTGTGAGTTACATGTGTTGACTTGGTCTCATTTACTCCAATTCGCCATTTTTTCATCCAAGTTTCTATTCGATTTATGTTTTTTGTAAATTTTCTGATGCTCTTGTGAGACTAAAGTTCATGGCTAGTATTGCGGTGTCGTCTGCAAAGGTAGCAAATTTTGTGTTACTGCTGGTTAAGAGGTCTGCAGTGAACACCAGGAATAAAATAGGGCTTAAATCTGATAGGTAGGATTTCAGGAAGACAAAGAAAGGATATGGCAATTGTCTGTTTATCTTATAAAGTAGGCCTTTATGCCAAACCTTATTAAAGGCTTGACTGACGTCTAAGAAAGCTGCTAAGAGGTAGGATTTACTTTTTAGCGTGTAGAACATTTTTTTATTATTCTGTCGACCTGTTTGATTGTTTTACCCTTTAACCTGAAGCCGAGTTGGTGGTCCAGAATAAGTTTAGTTTTTTCTAAGATTGGAACCAATATTATCAGTAAAAACTTTTCGAATGCCTTTTATTGAATCGGCAGCAAACATATAGGTCTATAGGATTTTAGGTCTTCTGTTTTTTCCCAGGATTTTGGTGTCAGTATAATCGGTGACATTTTCCATTGCCTCGGAAAGTAGCCTGTTCTGATGATGGCGTTGAAAATGCACTGCAGGTATTTGTACCTTTTTATTGTACATTCTTGCAATAACTTGCCTGTTATCAGCTCAAACCCTGGGGCTTGTTCAGCAAATTCTTCGGCTTTGTCTTTGTTATCTCTTGCCCATTTTCCCTCCATGTCTCTTATTGTAGGACAATATTGTTGTGACAGTTTGATCTAGGTAAAAAATTTGCACTTTCCGGTAAAAAAATACCTTTGCATGGGCGTGCTACTGTCATTTGTATGCCGAAACGAAAAGATAATTATGTAAGAGAGCTGATGCTATCGATAATGTTAATTAAATAGAAAATGCAAAATTTAATGAGAGAATTGACACAATACACAATATATTGAGATATCAATGGCATCAAAAGATGATAAACATTTTAAAAGAGGCAGACCTGGATGACAAAGACCTCAGAATAATTTCTGAACTCTACTGGAATCAGACCGCACACATGAAAATTTACGGAAAAGAAACAGATCACATTAAAAAAAATAGTACGTGGAGTTAGACAGTGATGTATCCTATCGCCGTTGATATTAAATATGTACTCAGAGAAAATTTTTAACGAGGCTCTTTACGGAATAGACGAAGGCATCCTTCTAAATGGTGAAAGAGTAAACAGTTAGATATGCCGACGACACCATGGTGATAACAGATAGTTTAGAGGGATTTCAGAGGCTAATGGACAGAATAAACGAGTACAGTCAACAGTACGGACTAAACATTAATACCCACAAAACGAAACAAATGATTATCAGCAAGGAGAATATAAACGGGGCTCATCTATACATTATTGGGACGCAGATAGAGCGAGTAAAACAGTATTGTTACCTGAGAACTATTATTAACGAACAGTGGAGCAATTTACAGGAAATAAAGTGCCGCATAGGAAAGGCAAGAACGGTATTTAACAAAATGAGCGCCATCTTCAAAAGTCACAACATATCCTTGATACAAAAATGAGACATATGAGATGCTATGTTTTCTCTGTGTTGTTGTACAGGGCGGAGGCATGGACGCTTACAGACACCACTATTAAAAAACTTGAAGAATTTGAGATGTGGCTTTATAGAAAAATGCTGAGAATATCATGGACAGCAAGAATCACGAACAAGGAAGTTCTAGGAAAAATGAAGAAGGAACCAGAGATTGTGTTTACGATCAAATGCATAAAATTGCAATATATGGGACACGTTATGAGAAATCAGCACCGTTACACCCTGCTACAGTCTATATTGCAAGATAAAGTCAAAGGTAAGCGAGGACCCGGTAGAAGAAGAATATCATGGCTGCGGAATTTAAGAACATGGTTTAAGAAAACCTCAACGGAGCTGTTTCGAGCCGCAGCGAGCAAGGTTATAATTGCCAATATGATTTCCAACATCCGAAACGGATAGGAACCAGAAGAAGAAGATCAATGGCATTGGCTATAACCAGTATAATGAAGACTGTACAATATAGTCAATCATGAATTAGTAGATAAAAGGTTTGTAAATTCAGGTTTAAAATAAAAAAGTTTAAAGATAAACACCTATTATATCAAAAGGTTTTTTCTTTTTATATCTCTATTTCTTTTCTTATTTACTATCAGATATTTTATTTTGTTTCCTTCTCCACAACATCCTTCAGAGTACTTACTATTTGGCTATGTATTTCCTTTAATAATATACTATCTTAGTATTGAAGACAGTTGACAGTTCTCCAAATATATTGCATATTTATAAACGTTTTCTGGGAATGTCCAGATCTGGGAATGTTCGTTAGATTCTTCCTTCTACCTGGTTACAAGTTTGGTTATTTCCATCTTGACTTTAATACTACTTTTGCTCTCACAGGTCAATAGTCACTTAACTGTCTACTGAAAACTTACTCAACACACTCACGTCTTGAACTGCAGATTTTATTTTCGATTAGATATCTCTTATAGATATCTCTTATAAATTATTAAATAAATTTATATACAATTTTAGTCCGTATCACAAATCTTTTAAAAAAATTAAATTTCTTACTTTTATCGGAGGTCCATAGGCGTACGTAACGCCATCATAAGGTTGATTCGAATATTTTCTAGGCTTTATTAATTTTCTAACAAACGGTGCCAAAAGCTGTGGATCGACATCCTTAGGATCATTGGGTGTGGTTAGTGCGCTCACAAGGAAGCCAACAAACATTGCTACAAACGTTCCTATCATACAGTAGTATAAATAGGAGAGTCTGTAGATCATGAACTGTTCACTAAAAAATAATTATTGACAAGTTAGTAATAATGCTATATTGATTAATTAATTTTCTAAGGTATTTATTTAGACATATAACCAAAAACGGTATTTTTATAACCAAAGAACGGATTATATGCAAGACAAAAGGTAAAAAAGTCATTTATTTAAGAACAAAATCTTACAAAATGAACAAAATATTTTTAAAGTAAGGTGCGGAAAAACATTATCGTAATTTATAAGTAATATCATACTCATAATCAATAATAATCCCTAATAATTTGAGTTTTTGCTTATTTTGTAAAAGTTTAAATAAATAGAAGAAAACATAATTTTAGTGAGAAATTCCAATATTTAATTGGGTTTGGATGTATGGAACTAACTAAAAATATTTAAAACTATAGATGAAAGTGTTTAGCTGTAATTGTTAGTATCACAACTTAGCTCTTTACATTAGTTATAAATAACATAGGGATAGACTTGATGATTTTCAATCTCTACCAGTCCGCCAGTAGGACTGGCACCACAAAAAGAAGAAGAATATATCTGTAGTGGATACTTAAATAACCAATTATTATCTTTTATTCTGTAATACTTAACATAATAGTTTTAAATACGTATTTTGGTCATATTATACTTACTCAGTATGAGTTATGTTATTCAGTTTAACAACTGTAGAAGTAAAATGATAATGACAACCTTCTGTAGACACCGGTTTTTCCTCAAATTTTAGGCCTCCAGAAGCAATCAAACTCTGCGTCTTTAGACAGTACCAAGTCATAAAAATAAGAGAAACGATACCTCCCGATAATGCTCCCTACAACATTACTAACCTTGTAATGAAATAAAATATTAAATGTCATTATCAAACTGTTTTACCTTTGAGTTGATCCATGGAAGAAGAATTCCCATTGCTGATACTCCTAATGAAGGTCCATTACCAATCGAACCAATACTCATTGACAGCTTAAACATAATTTTATTTTAGTTTACAAACACGATATCTATTTTTTTACTTTAGTTTTAGTTATAAAATAGTAAAATTTAAATTGTACCTGTAGAACAGTTCCCATTTTCTCCACAAGAAATACCAGTCCAATGCAGACAGCTCCAGTGATGATAACCGTAGATTTCATTAGATAGAAACTTTGTTTTTCAGATATGTTTCTATTGATGAATGGCTTGTAAAAGTCTTCTAAAACTATGGCTGCCATGGCATTTAGTCCTGTTGATAGTGAGCTATAAAAATAAAATATCAAAACTATTATGCTTTAGTGTTTAAATTAAAAAACAATAGATATAAATTACACCCTTGGCGCACCCCACGGAGAATCTGGATATTCCCAGTCAGTTCATTTTAAACTTTCACTTTCGCTCTTTGATTCCAATGGAGGTTATAATATATAATTCTAATGTCTCTACTGCCTATATTTTTATTTAACAAAATTTATTTAAGACGATTATGCTGCACTTTGTCAAATACCTTCTCAAAATCAATGAAATAGGCATACACTCTAGGCATCATTACGAAAGAAAACTCACTGTAAATAGTGCATTCCGTGTTCTCAGACCATTCGTCGACCATTACTGTTGTAATTGGATGTTTCTTCATTGACTTTAAGACAGTTCCTAATCATGTTAAAATAGTTCGATTTGTCGTCTTCGTTCAATTACTTTAGAGTAAATAAAATAACCATTTTAGAATAAAAAAGAATCATTGGACTACTTGCCTAAGAGCCGCACTGAAAATCCCAGCAACAAATATACCAGGAATCCCTGGGAAGTCTCCTAGAATCTGCATTACTAAAAGTGGTAATAGTTGATCCTTCTTTTTCGCCAACTGTTAAAAACTGATAAATGATTGTCTTACTTATCTACAATTGTACAAATCCGCTTACCTTGGTGGTTAAAGGATCGCACTGATAGTAAGTAGCATAGATCAACATTCCGCAATATGAAGAAAAACCCACTATTAAAAATAATCCTGCTATAAAAACTGCCAAGGCTCTAAAATTTTAAAAAGTATTACTTAGATTTGCAAAATCGTAATGATAATGCTAATGGTAGTGGTAGTTACTGTACTCAAATTTTATGCATAGTTCATTTATAGTCAAATTTAATGAAATGAATGCATTCTGAGAGAAATAATACCAGACTAGTGGAATTATGTAATCCGGTAAAAAATTTATTGAAATAGCATATAAGATAACTGTTTTTATAATATTATTGTTATGGTGCATATAAAATATTTAAATAAAGAAATGAGTTACCTTCTAGAATGTTTCAAAGATGGTAATGAAAGGTATCTCTGAATCATATTTTGGTTGACTCCTGCTGTCTGTACCGCCAAAAACGTTCCTCCAATAACCAAAGTCCATATTGTGTGTCTTGCTAAGGGATCTAAATCAAAACTTAGGATATTTTACTTTTAAGTTATTTAAATTTTAGTTTAATTTTAATAAATTTTGTTTTTTAAAAGACAGATGCTGTAACATCTTCTATATTTCGGTTTTCTACTGTTGTCTGTACATATCTGACTTGATTTTCCATAAAAGACAGTCTGGATAAGAAATTTAACAGTTGTCAATACAATGATTATCTATTTTTTGCGAATATTCCGTTTACAATTCATACAAATCTGCAATACAGATCGAACTTAACGCATCTATGGTTTTACAACTATCTGAAGACGCAATAATGCTATAAACATATAATACAAGATAGACTGACCATTGCAATACTAACCCATTTCCCCAGAGCGACAGAGAAAACTAATGCAAAGCAGTTTGTGAATATCTTTCTAATTTGACAGGTTTATCAACCACGTGACCTAAATGACTAATGAGAAGGTCACATGATCGATAAACCCGGCCTATTAGAAAGAGATGCAGAGACTGCTTTGCGTCAGTTTTCTCTGACGTATTGGTGGAACGCGACTGTTGTGCAGCAATCAGTTTCTTTTGTATTATATGTCTATGGCTATAAACAATCTAGTCAGCGCGGTGTAAGGGTTATAGTCTTCTTCTTTATCAGTTCTTTAAATGTTTCAACCATGACGCTGTTCGTATTCCAATAACCCTACCTTCTTATCTTTCCCTGTATTATGTAACTTTCTGTCCTTTCTTCTGCTTTTTATTGCACCAAATCTTTTCAAAGGTTGGCGATCCAAATGGCATTTGTAACTTTGGAAACTGCTGTGCTACAGATTTCTGCGGAGAGCAGCTAATGTAGCGGTATATTCTGTTCTGAATATTGTATTCTGAAAAGAGTCTACTGTTTAACACATTGCCTGCCGTCTCGGTCTATGTAACTGAAAAAAAATTGCCCTGCATGCCAGCGAGGTCTACTGACTGAGAATTTTAATGTAACTGTGGTGCTGGCTCGGTCACTTTGGCGTGAACGGAAAGTATTACAAAATTCTCTACGCTAGGCAACGTGTTAACAGGCTCTAAGGTTTCGTCTTTTATACATTTAAACTTTTCTACTGGAATTTATTGTAAGCCTATTGCTTTGCAATTTTTTTCTGTTTTTTAATGCCATTTTAATTTCTTCTTAGTCCTAGCTTTTATAATTATTCGTTATAAAGCATTTGAAGGTATATAAAATTCAACTATTTAGTATAATCCTGACGTTAGTAGTTTTGATGATTGAAACAATATTTTATACTTACTTCGGCCCTTCAATTCTATCACTGTCCCAATTTCTTTTAAATACGTTTCCAAATCCTCCTACATCTAATGTACCTTTGATAGCCACCAATATTAGAGCTCCAAACATTAGTATCAACTGAATTACGTCAGTCCAAACAACTCCTTTCAAACCACCCTAGAAATTATCTTGTTTTTAATCCAAACAAGAAATATAAACAAAAAAATTAATAGTGTTGTAGATTCTATTAATATACATACATTAATTAGTTTAAAAGTGTTCTGAAAACCTTTTTTCAGTGTAAACTTACCAACGAAGTATAAAACACACAAAAGGCACAAACAGTTGGTGTTATAAAATGAACATTTATTCCCGACACTAAAACAGAAAAGTTTAAAGTATAAGGTGTTTTTGTTTAAAATATTATTCTGCTTAAAGCTACGTCAAACATACAGACAGAATTAAATATTATGTTTATATGGGATTCAGCCACAACTAATTGTAATGAAAATTACATTTTTAACCCGATATCTGGCCACCCTAAAAAAATATGTAATATTATTTTATTGTTTACATAATCTTATATAATACTCTATGGTACAGAAAAACCGAAAAGTAGTTCTGAACAGAGTATATACCCCCTAGTAAGGTAACTCCCATATAAAGTTTTGGGAGAGAGTTTCTAGTGCCAAATACAGACGGGCCGAAACTAATTTTATTTGGCGGAAAATTCAAAACATAGGTTTTGAATTTTAGGCGGCAAATTCAAAAAATATGCTCTGAATTTTAAGCGCCAAAATTCAAAAAGTATTCTTTTAATGAAAAGTAAATATAGTCATAAAATACGAAATAAAATTTTATATACTACTTCTCTTTGTCCAAAAATATAGTATACACTTACACATTTTTTGGTGGTATATATATATGCGTATGAACTTTACACATTGCAGTTTTACATAAAGAAAAGGAAGAAAAAAGTGACAATAACAATAATAAATAAGTAAGTAAATAAGTAAACACTGACACAGAACATATAAAATTAAAATTTTTAAAATTAAAGTCGAAAGTTACATCCTCGAAGCCAATTTGTCGCCTTGGGAATAAGTTGGTGGATTTATTGAAGGCTGCCAAAGAACTTGGTGGCTGGACACTCGAAGACGATGTGGTTAATTGTTTGTTCAGCGGCGCTGCATTTGTCACATTCCGGGCTGGCATTTATACCCCATTGATTCAGCGATTTGTTACAAATTCCATGACCAACTCGTATTCTATTTAGGTTGCACCATTCACGACGGGGAAGAGAAAAGCCGTCTGGTTTGATTGTGGGGTTTTCTATCAGATTGGAATTTCTGATGTCTGGATTGCATTCGCCCATCCAGTGCTCTTCGGTAGTGAAAACAGTCAATTTTGTAGCAGTTCTAGTAGGTGGATGTCTGGATTTCAGTCTTAACTGCCTTTGGTGTAGTTCAGCGATGTCTGTGTTTATCGGTAGTTCTGGGTTTTGTTGGCATTTTTGAACTAGAGTGTTGAGTGCGGCTAGTCGTCTTGTTGCTGGTGGAGCGATGTTGCTTAAAACTGGAAGCCACTGGGTTGGTGTCGGCTTTATAGTTCCCGTTATGTGCCTCATTGTTTAATTTAACTGGGTATCTATGACTTTTGTGTGATGACTGTTTAGCCAGACAGGAGCGCAATATTCTGCAGTAGGATATACTAAGGACAGCGCGCTCGTTCTTATTACCTCTGCATTCGACCCCCATGATGTATTTGCAAACTTATGGATAATATTATTGCGGGTCTTAATTTCTGCTGAAGTGTTTTCCAAATGCTTTTTGAATGTTAGGGTGCGATCTAGAGTTACGCCGAGGTATTTTGGGTTAGCACTGTGCTTTAGCCTGGTTCCATCGCATTCTATGTTTAGTCTGTAATTTGCCTTGTTGTTGTTTAGGTGGAAAACTGTTACTTCAGTTTTCGATGGGTTTGGTTGTAGGCCCCATTTCTTAAAGTATCTGTTAACAGTGTTTAGATCTGCTTCTATGGTGGATTCGGCGATGTTTATGTCTTCTTCTTGGGCACCCAAAGCCATGTCATCGGCATAAATAAATTTGCGCGAGGTGGTAGTTGGTACATCTGACGTATAAATATTAAAAAGTAGAGGAGACATAACTGACCCTTGTGGCAAGCCGTTTTGCAGGTTTCTGAAGTTACTATTTTTCCCATTTAGGTGTACTTGGAAAAGTCTGTCACTTAGCATTTGGTTTAACAACCTGTTGAACGCACGACACGGTAACATCTGGTATATTTTATATAAAAGGCCCTCTTTCCACACTGTGTCGTAGGCGCAGGTCAAGTCTATGAATGCTGCTACTGTTTTCAGTTTCTTTTGGAATCCGTTCTCAATAAATGTTGTTAAGGAGAGGACTTGGTCGCCACAGCTTCTTCTCGGCATGAATCCAGATTGTTCTTTAGGAATATTTGACTTTGTAAAGTAAAATAGTCTCGTTTGGATTATCTTCTCGAAAATCTTGTAGCAGACGCTTAAAAGAGCGATTGGTCTGTAGCTCTCAGGTAATGCAGGGTCTTTCCCAGGTTTAGATATTGCGATGATCTTACTTTTTTTGAAGGATTTTGAAAACTTCTGCTTAGTTAGTATTTGATTGTAGAATTCAAGAACATTTGGGTGGTAAAGGGGTAGAATCCGAAGACATAGAGATGCTTCCAGTTTTCTCTACTTAGCCTCTCCTACTCAAATCCGACTCTCACCTTCACTCTGGTGTCCTCTGTTAAACCGAGCAACCCAACTGGAGATCCGGTATCCAACCGTATAGGTTAACCCCCGTATCAACCCTATAGGTAGGGTTAACACCCCAACACCGTAAAAACTATCATGTTACGAAAATTCAAGAAAAAGTTTCCAGATTAAAATCTAGACGACGACTTGGCGAGAAAAAGGAAAAAGAGTTACAATTAAGTACGTGGAATGTGAGATCCCTATATAGAACTGGAGCATTGCGGGAACTCCTCGACATCCTGCAACAACATCCATTAAAATAGTTGAACAAACGGAGCCTATTAAAATAGGGCGAGGAGTCAGACAGGGTGACACTATATCACCCAAACTATTTAATCAAGCTTTGGAAGATGCTATGAGAAAATTACAACGGGAAAAACGGAGTATTAATATAAATGGCCAATAATTGAATCACTTGAAATATGCAGACGACATTGTATTAATAACAGATAAAAGGGAAGAATTACAAAATATGATGGATGAATTAAACAGCAAATCAACAAAAATAGGTCTACAAATGAATTATAATAAAACGAAAACTATAAAACAAGTATAAGAATCTGTATATTTGGGACAACTAGTTAAATTAAATAAAGAAACTCAGACCAGAGAAATAAAGAAAAGAATACTGTTGGCTTGGATATCCTTCGGAAAACTTTCCTATATACTAAAAAAAAATAGAAAATACCCCAATATTAAAAAACGAGAGTCTTTAACCAATGTATACTTCCTGTTCTGACCTACGATTCTCAAACTTGGACGTTTACAAAGGAAAACATGGAAAAAATAGCAAAGACCCAAAGAGCCATGGAAACGCAAATGCTGAACATCAGGCTATCAGACAAGAAAATAAATAGTTGGATCCGCAACAAAACAAAAGTGGCCGATGTATTAACGCAGGTGGCAAAGCTTAAGTGAAAGTTCGCTGGACATATCATGTAGCATTTTCAATTTCATTGATTCTTTTGAGTATATTGAAACCTCCTCGTATAAAAAAATATATTAAAAACTCCTTATATATTTTTAAAAAATGAAACGAAGAATTTTTCCGTGTTGTTAGTTCGTATCTTTCAAAGTACTCAAAAGTGTTTCGTCGCCGAGTAATAAAACCATTTGAGAGTTGTTTATTTTACTTCGGCAAAATTCTTCTCATGTTGATGCGTCGCAAAAGGATATGTACGCCGTTTCGTTGATTTTGCTATGTCAAGTGTTTGTTTATTTTCAAGTTATGCGATCAATTTTAATAGATAATTTGGTTACTATCGTTGGAGCCGCGGTGAAAAGCGGTCAACGTTATGTCCGAATTTGACTTCAAATTCGAAATGTTCCTCGTTGTTTGTGTTTTTTTATGAAGACGTTTGTTCGTTTTTTTTTATGAAGAAAATGTGTAGCAGTGTGAAGTTAATGGTTCAGTAAATGTTTGAGTGAGGAATGGAAAAATCGTCGACTCTATCCTCGTTTTGTTTCTCCCTGGTTATCATCCAAGGCTTTTGGCAGTATGGAGATAGATTTGTTCGAGATATGAAGATATGGAGATAGATAGTTGTGTTCATTACACAGAGAGTAAAGCCCTCAGTTCCAGTTATGGTGTCGGATATTCCAGTGGCGTCTGGTTCCACAAATTCTAGTGTATTTTGTTAGTGAAAATCCAGGTAACTTTTTGATCAAATTTTAAAGTAAAGGCAGACAATTTGTTTTAAATTAAATAATTGCTTTCGTTGACATTTAAAATTGTAAATTTTAGATTTTGAGTTGAGCTATCAATTTGTGTGTTTAGTTTTTTTTTGAAATTTAATGTTAACTTATGACAGCTCGTTTTTTATTATTTTTTTGGTTATTAGTTTGTTTTATTTTTAAACAAGGTTAACCTCCATATAAATTTGTAGTTTTATGTAGTATCTCCAACTCCTGGAGTTTGTAAGCGGATGACACGTAAGTTTTGTATTTTGTATTTCTCCATTTTGTAACTGTTTGTGATGACACATAAATAAATGTTAAATTTTGTTGTCTTAACATTTTATTTATTTTTTTGAGCTAACCCTTTTTTGATTTTTTTTTAAAAAGATATGTTTTTGTTAATGTATAATTATTTCCTAGTTACAACTAGTGGTTGTAGTAGGTATAATTAGGCACCTCAAGTGGCGCCCTATATTAAATTCCTTGAGGTGTTTCTTGTTTATTTTTATTTTGTTTATCTCAAGAGCCCTTTATTTCATTTTTTTGTAGTTGCCCCATTCCAATGCCCTTATCTTTTACTTATCCACGACCCCAGCTCTCCTACGAAACCCTGAGTGCCGTTCGCATCAGTAGCGATTATTTTGCTTGCCTTATCTCCACCCCTTAGTTTCTTGCCCCCAATTTTCTACCCCTTGTGTTAAAGTCCCCTGTGGTAGGCAAAATATTTTCGTTACAACCATAAACAGAACAACGACAGATGGAATAAGATGATTATACACTGGAGACCATATAGTTACAAAGGAAAAAGAGGAAGGCCACAAATGAGATGGTCAGATGACTTGAAGAAAGACGCATGCCCGAAGTGGATACAAACTGCCTAAAATAGAGAGACGTGGAAAAAGAAAGAGGACGCCTATGTCCAAAATTGAACAGCAAGGTCTGTACATATAGATAGATAGATAGGTCACTCTTTAAAACTTCTTCGTTCCAATTTTCATGATTCAGTTACTTTTAGTTCCTGAGATATTTCTAATTATTGGACGTTTATCTGCCTCAATCTGTCTAAAGCTGCCATAGAAAAAAAAGGTGTTTAAGATATTCTTCTTCTTCTTAAGGTGCCATATCCATTACTGAAGGTTGGCTATAACTACAGCAAATTGTTCTCTATCTTGAACTGTCCTTAGTATTGAATGTGTGTCCATACCTGTCCAGTCTCTTATATTCTTCAACCAGGAGCATTTTCTTCTTCCTGAACCTCTTCTGCCTTCCACTTTTCCTTCCATTATAAGTCGTAGAAAGTTGTAGATTTTAAGTAAGTTTAAGATATTACATGATCAAAACAACAGCGGACCCATATTATATCTAATTGACTTCATAACGTATTCTACTCCAATCACTTTTAATAAGTATATAATTTATTAAACACAATAAACACATTTTTGTATAAATAAGGCTAAAAAGTCTCTTACCTTGGTTTAATGCAAGAGCTGGCACATAAATTACTAGCGGCAGCCAAGATAGCATCTTAATACTGAATAGTAATGAACCAAATAATCTAACACCTTTGCTAAATCTCCTTTCATGGTACTAAAAAGTATACAAATTTATTGTTTTATTAAAAAATAAAAAATCGAATTATTAAATCATCACTAAAATCCCCTATATGCTACTCAATACTCAATATTATTTTGTGTAAATCCAGCTACATATGGGAATTCGTCGTACCTATAACAGAATTCGTCTCATTTTTTTTTACAATTAAGTACGGTTAATTTAAACCAATGTCACTTTTATAGCTTAAAAATAATTTGACAGTTTTTCCTGATTTTAAACCAATTTCCTCCAAGCGTCAGATTTGTAACTTCAACTAACACAATTGCCTTGGAAATTTCTTGATCTATAATCTAAAATCTGAATCTATAATCATTTGTTTAGTTATTCATTAGAAAGCTACAGCACAGCAGCCTGCTTCGACCTGACGTCGGCGTCGTCGGATCTCCTGGTTAGCTTGAAGAATTGTTTCCCTCCGTTCTTGTAACTTCGTTTTAAGTTGTTGTGCAGTGTTTGTTTAGACTAGTAAATCTGGTCAGCGAAGCAAGTTATTGAACAGGACTTAAAATTAACATTTTAAAAACAAAGTGGATGGCGGTTGGAAAGATTAATATATTATATCAAGGTTTGATCTCGCTTAATGGGAAAGAGATAAAACGCCTAAGCCATTTTAAATACCTCGACAGCTGATTTAATGGAAATTGTGACTCTGATGAAGAGATAATCACCAGGATCGAAATAACACGTTAGGCATTTATGACCTCCCTCTCTCTCTCTCTCTCACTTTCTCTCTTGTTATTTTCCCATTACTGAGGATCGTGATTTCTTCCAATATTTCTAACAATTTTTTACTGCTCTATCCTCAGCTGCATTGAGAGCTTCGTAGAATGAGTTTCGAGCTGAATTCTTAATTTGGTCGGACCATCTAGCTGGTGATCGTGCTCTTGATCTTCTCCCCGGAACGTTTCCAAAAACAATTAATCTCTCCAAACTATCGTTACCCCTGCGAACCATGTGACCGAAAAATTGTTTGTCCTAGGAGCTGTCCAAGGTATGCGCAGCATTCTTATCCAGCACCATATCTCAAAGGCATCAATTTGTTGGCACTTGCGTGCGCGAAGAGTCCAAGTCTCTGCCCCGTATAGAAATAAGAATACAAGGGCATTCACTAGTCTTATCTTGATATTTTGAGAGATAGATATGTCTTTCCGAACTTAAGTTAGGCGACTCATCGCATTTTTTGCCATACCACTACGTCTCTGCTTCACAGTTCAACTTCTGCTTCACAGTTACTATCGTTAGTTATACAAGACCCGAGACAGATAAAACTATTTCTGTAATATGTTAGTCAGTTGAAAGGTGTGAAATCTGTCGACCATCATTTTTGTCTTAGCTTTATTGATTTCTAGAACAACGTTATTGCTTTCGTACTCAACTCTTCGCAAAAGATTAAATGTTTCTTGCTCATTTGTTGCTATAAGTATTGTGTTATCAGCAAATCTTAAATTGGAGATTTTCCAACCACTGTTACTCTACCGACCCCTAATCCCCCACCGGTATCTAAAGCCAAAGCATATCAATGTTGAATAAGCCAGGTGACAATACATCAGGTGTCTAATACCTCTCTCGGTCTTGAATTATTTTGAGAACTTATATTCTAGTCGTACTGTTGTTATATTGGACTAGTACATATTTTTAATAAGTGGCACCAGGTGCATTGGTGTGTACATTTCGATTAAAATGAACCACAGATTTTACTCCACAGAACTCCAGCTTATACAACCAAATGCCTTTTGGCGTTGATTGAATAACGCAAATAGATCCGCAACGCTTATGGAGAGAAACGTGCAACCCAAAAATGTAAAATTTTATAAAGAATCAGCGACTCTAGTGGATATTACGGGAAACAACTAGTTACGAATTTGCGCTCATACGAGAATGATCGTAGAAAGAGGTGCCGTTACCTCCCCTATCGTGCCCTTCCACAACCAATTTATGGAAGTACTACTTACGAAGTGTAGTGAGTCAGCAGAGAACTGGACATCACCCCAGCGTTATCTCTGATTTCTAAGAAATATGTCTGTGAAGCATTTAGCACTTCGCCAACGTTTGAATTTATTTTGTCGATATTATACTTATTTTGTATACAGATATGATAAAGATCGACTGCAATGAAAATTATTTGATATGTAATTTAGAATGTTAATAATTATAAAATGAAGGGGTGCCCGATCTAATTTTGTTGTGACTATAATTAATTAATAATTTAATAATAACTTATTTTATAAAGAATATTTTGCGGACAGATATTATTTTAGATTCATTCAAAACAAAAAACTGCTTTTTTAAATTTTGTTCTTAAGCTGATTGTTTTCAAGTTATAACCAATTTAAAACAAAAAATAACGAGAGATGATGATCTTCAAGGCTTAGAATCATTAAGTTTCATTTCATTTTGGAAATTATGAAGTACCTAAGTTTAAGCTCAACATTATTTTATCAGGTCTTGATAAGTATTTTGGACTTTCATTTTAAATCATTGTTTTTTAATTATTAATGTAGCCCAGCCCGATCGCCTGTCTTCCACAAAGAACCTTCCTCGTTAACAATTAAAAAATATTTGCAAAAATTCAAAACATACATAATATGGCAAACATTCCTATCGGGACTTGATACAAGAAATTTCGCAAGTTTGTACTTGATGATTACAAAATTAATATTTTTGCTTGTGTTTTGAGCCTTGAAAATCGAAATTTTTCGTTTTTTTTTTCTTTTTAGTTTTAAATTATTTAAAACTCGAAAACGATCAACTTCAGAGATAAATTACAAAAGACCTTTTTTTGTTTCGAATGATAAAAATAAAATAAAATAATATCTGCCCAGGCCGAATTTTTATTATACTTCGAATCTCACCTGGATGGAGAAATTTTCGTTTATTAAAAATTAATGAATAAAAATAATTTCTATCCTTGTGCGATCGGTACTCACCGGAGGGACCGCAGACGTTCGGATACAATTAGCGTCTCTTAGCAAAGACAATGACGTCGACTTTGTTAAGTATCAAGACAATTACTCTACACACACACTACACTAGGTACCTGACTGTACCATGCCAATGATCTTAGTTGTCGAGGCATTAATGCAATAATAAAAAAAAAAACAAAATTATATCAGGCACACCTTGTTTTTCATAATTTTGTTAACATACTGAATTCCATATGAAATAATTTTCAGTCATTAAAAATATCGGTGCAGTTCTACATTATATCGGATCCTCTACTATTAACGTGCGATTTTCTTTAAATGTGTAGGAATTTTCGTAATAAAAAAGAAACATTAGGCTAGAGTGTATTGTAATATATTTTTTTATTTTTTGGTAGCACTTTACAAAAGCTTTTAAAAACATTATATTTTTTTCTGAAAAACCAAAAACTACAATCAACACTTATACAGTTAAGATATACAGTAAAACCTCCCTTAAGCGAAACGTTTTTAACCGAATCATCGTTTGACCGAAACGCTGACAGTTTCAATAATTTCGTCAATAAAAAGTAAATTTTTATCGCAAAATGTAAATTCCATCAATTTCAGTCACCGATTGATGCATATGTGTGTTGGGAAATCATATTACTGATCATGGAATTCGGATACCAAGATCCGGCAGAGAAGGACAATCACAAGACGGCAAGGCCTTCTCGGTCGCCAGCAGAAGAAATCCTTGCCATTATAATGGAAAGATAAACCTCACGATCTGCACATGGAATGTTAAAACATTATATGAGGCAGGCAAGACTCATAATTCTATCAAGGAGATGGATAGACTATCAATAGACATAATAGGAATAAGTGAGATGAGATGGCCGAACTCTGGGCAATGTAAAATTAATGATCATCAAATCTATTACTCAGGTAACCCTAATGGAAGACACGAAAATGGGGTAGGTATAATCTTAAATCAAGAAACTGCCAGACATGTTAAAAACTTTGTACCTATATCGGAAAGAATACTCCTCCTTCAACTTCATACCTATCCAATTACATCTAACATTATAAACAATCTAAGCATTTTATAACGAACTAACGAACACCTTAAAACGCCTCCCCAGAAAGGATTCAACTTTGATTATGGGTGATCTAAATGACAAAATTGGTAGGGGACAATCGGGAGAATTCATAGGACCATTTGGACTTGGAGAAAGAAATGAGCGAGGAGACCGACTGGGTGAATTTGTAGCAGAAGAAGAATTTGTGATTACTAACACTTACTTCAAACTCCCACACAGAAGATTATACACATGGAAATCACCTCAAAATATTCCAGGCCGCATAGTGAGAAATCAAATAGATTACATTCTGATTAATAAAAGATTCCGGAACAGCATAACATCAGTCAAGACATACCCAGGAGCTGATATCAAATCAGACCATAACCCACTGATTGGCAAAATTAGGCTCAGACTAAAGAGGGTTAGACGTAGTGTCAATCCAAAATTCGACATCAAGCTATTAAAAGACCAACACACAGAACATAGTGTAAAGCGGTATATACAGAACAATTTGAATACCGTTATTCAATCGGATGTAATGGACCAGGAGCTAGAAAATTATCAATTAATCAAAGATCAAGACATGTCATTATACAAAAGAATCGATAAAAAGATCAAAAAAGCTATTAGAATAGCTAAGGATACACATCTAAGAAAACAGTTTTCGGAAATACAGCAATTGCAACATAATCACGATACATTTAATATACACAAAAAAGTTAAAAAAGCCGCAGGCTTATACAAACCTAGAAGAGTTGGGTGTTTGACAGATAACCAAGGCAAACAACTGTTAACCGTGGAAGGAAAACTAGACACTTGGAAGAATTATGTGGAAGTAACCTTTGCAGATGAAAGGCAGACTACCATTGAAGACACTGAATGCCAAACAGGACACTCGATTACCATTGAAGAAGTCACGTCAGCTATTAAAAGAACTAAAGATGGTAAAGCGGTAGGGACTGACGAGTTTTGTGCAGAATTCCTTAAACTTATGGATGAACAGGGAATAAAATGGATAACAACTGTATTCAACAACATATACGTAACTGGAAAAATACCCCAAAGTTGGTTAAAGTCGACCTTCGTGACCATACCAAAAAAAGTAAATGCCAAGACATGCGAAGACTACAGAACAATTAGCCTAATGAGCCACTTACTTAAAACGTTCTTGAAAGTGATACACGGCAGAATATATAAAAAATGCGAAGAACAAGTATCATGGACGCAGTTTGGATTCCGCGATTCCTTAGACACCCGAGAGGTTCTATTCACTCTCCAAGTGCTTATGCAAAGATGCAGGGATGTTAACTGGGATATGTATATTTGTTTTATCGACTACAAAAAGGCATTTGATAGAGTAAAACATGATAAACTTACAAATAGCCAATATTAAAGTGGATGATCAATTGACAGAGGCAGTCTCCATAGATAGAGGAGTGAGGCAAGGATGCATTCTGTCCCCGGTGTTATTTAATATATACTCTGAATATATCTTCGAGCAAGCGCTGGGAGAACTACAAGAAGGCGTATTAGTCAACGGAATGCGTCTAAACAACATTAGATATGCCGACGACGCAGTAGTTTTTGCAGATAGTCTGGACGGTTTGCAAAGAATAATGTCGCATATATCACATATAAGTAGAGAATACGGACTTGATCTTAATACGAAGAAAACAAAGTACATGGTAGTCAGTAAGCGCGAAATATTAAATACACAGCTTTTGGTTAACCAACATCCAATTGACAGAGTGGACAGCTACACATACCTTGGTACCAACATTAACAGCCAATGGGATCACTCCAGTGAAATAAAACAACGCATAGGAAAAGCGAGATCAGCGTTGATAATGATGAAGTCTCTTTTCAGAAGTCATGACTTGCAGTTTACCACTTGCTACCAAAATCTCTCTCATTAGATGCTATGTATCTTCTACCTTATTATACGGAGTAGAGGCCTGGACACTTTCCGAAGCTTTATTAAGAAAACTCGAGGCATTCGAGATGTGGTGTTACAGACGTATCTTAAGAATTTCATGGGTGGATCGTGTGACTAATGTTGAGGTCTGAGGTCCAACGTAGAATAGGCAAGGGATGCGAGATTATTAACACCATTAAAGAGCGCAAACTAGAATATCTTGGCCATGTTATGAGGAATGAACAGAGATACGGCTTGTTGCAACTCATTTCTTCAGGGCAAGGTATTTGGAAAGAGAAGGACCAGGGAGAAGAAGAATATCTTGGCTTCAAAACCTGAGAAAATGGTTTAATACATCGACAACCGGACTATTCAGAACTAGCAGCAAGCAAAGTGATAGCCATGTTGATCGCCAACATCCGGAACGGATAGGCACCGTAAGAAGAAGAAGATTTCTCATAACTTTTTTTCTGGTACCTTTAAGTACATAATATCTAAGTATATATTATATACATTGCTAAATAAAAAATTTTGAGTCAGATATATACCCAAAGGTACCAGAAAAAAAGCTTAATGCGAATTTTAAAAAGTAATCATAAAAAATATCAAGAATCTTTAAAAGTATAAATTTTGAAAAACCATAAATTGCTTAAAAATAGTCGAACAACCTCGTACAATAGAATACAACCGTAACGGTAATTGACTTCTCTTCCTATAAAATGTACCATTCTATCTACCTAAAAGTTCGTAGAAAAAAGTTACAGACAATGTTTGCGAAATACAAATTCAAATGCACAGCTTGAATGTATGATTGTATTTAAGAATTAAAGTGGGGAAGCAATATTTACGTTGAGAATTAAGGGGAGGTAATATGAAGAGAAGAAATCTTTTATGTTGAACCGTAGTGTAATTTTCTCTCTCGAACATAGATGGCGACACGGTTTTTGAGAACAGAATAGTTGCTACGTTTAATTTGTGTACGGCTGCATATCTATTTGGGTTATTCAATCAACACTTTTGGTAGTCAACAAAGCATATAATCATATGTAATTTTCTAGACTTTTCATTGAGTTGTCTCAGGCTCAGGATTTGTTCACGTGCACCTTGACCCTTTGGCCATTTGTTCCTGAGGTATTTGGTAATGTAGATAGGTTTTTAATCTGCTTTTAATGATATGCAACAAGATTAAACTAGCATGTGTGATTAGTGTCAGTGTGCAGTAGTTTTCACATCTGGTAGTAGTTTCTTTTTTGTATAGCAGGATATAAATTGAGGTACATCAATTAGATAACCATTTTCCTGAATTCCAAACAGTGATACAGATAGAATGGATGATATATAATCCTTAGTTATCTAGTAACTGTAGTATTACACCTACTATTGAATAAATGCCTAGGAATTTATTTCTTTTTAGCGATTTAATTGCATCTTTAACTTTAGAGAATATTACAATAAGTTCTCTAGGGTAGCCAGGGGGCCATTAATTTTCTGTTGATACCTCGTTATTACAGACCTCCCAAGTGCTTTTAGGGTTACTATCTACTTGTTTTAAAGAAAGAGCTTCTTCTAGGTTTTGTTGGAAGTCATTGATTTTTGATGGATTTAGAGACATGACTTTTCTTAGGGGACTTCTTTTGGAGACCTTAAAACGAAGTCAAACGTTCAATACCAGAAGTTGATGATCGCTTTCACAGTCTGCGCCAGGATATGTTTTAAAGTTGGTGGCCGACGACTTCTGCCATTAACAAAAATTTGTTTTATGACCTGGAAACCAGTTTTATGTAATACAAACCTGTCGATACACATTCTCAAGAATAGAAGGTCCTGAAATGTTATGTGTGTTCTATCCTATTATGGTTGTGAGAACATGTATAACATTAAAAACAACAATACTTAACAAACTAGAAGCATTTAATTGTGGTGATCTCGACGCTCCTAAAAAATTATGGGTTTTGCACACTTCCAATGAAGATATTCTTAAAATGATGAATTCAGAATGTATGTTCATAAAAGTTATAAATAGAAAAAAAATAGAATACTTCGGCCATATAATTATAGGATTCAAATACCATTTACTTTGCTTTATATTACAAGGAAAAGTGGAAGGAAAGAGATGGATTGGTCGAAAGAAACTTTCATGGCTGAGAACGGTTTCAGGAAATTGTAAACATGATGATGGCCAGCGTTTGAATACAGACACTGCGCCTAAACAAGAAGAAGTTCTTTAGTTTATATTGCTCGCTGCTGGCAATCGGCTTCAGTATTTTAATCTTATAGCAACGAAACCTACTCAGTAGATTAATTATTTGAGCGATGCTCATAACGTAATTCAAGATTCTGTTGTCGAATTTCAGAAATCCTACAAAAGTTGCCTTAAACGCATTAAATATCTTTTTGTGAACGACTAATTTAACTATCCTAATTAGTTGATAAAAATTAAATGAGCTAAAACTAACCTCATAAGTTGATGTCAATTGTAGACCTTGGAATACAGGTAAGAAGATGTATCCCATTAAAATTGACGCAATAATGAAACCTCCTAAGATATAATTATACTGGATTCCATAAACATACACTTCGGTGGGAATTCCCAAAAGCGATATACCACTAACTGAACTAAAATAGTTTATTTAAGTTATTGTGAAAGAATTAGTTTATTTTAAAAATTAAATTATACAAATTACAAAAAATTAAAAAAAAACTAGAAGATACAGTTAAAGGAAACAACAGAACCAAAGAAATGTGAAAGCTTAAAAAATGCAGTCTTAGATATAAGTATAACATGCATAATAAATACAAAAAGGAAAGCCACAATGAAGGATTAATATGATGAAGAAAATTAATTTTCTTTGACTGCATTTTACCAGTGGAATGGTTTCCAAGCGATGGATGTAACTGCGGAAAGCTGCATATTTATGTGATATGGGGTGATTTGAAGAAAACAAAGAAAAAAAATTACATGATTAGTCTGTGTGGGTTTCTTAAGTCGAAATGGCATTTAATCTGGTGATGGTGAGGTCAAAAGTGTTAATTGACTGGGCTGACTCTAGTTCCATAGTGAACTTAATGTTGGAGTGGATTTGGTTAATTTTAGAAAGTTAAAGTTCATCTGAGTTAGAGTTACCTAAAATGAAGACTAGACAGTCGTCAGCGTAGCGAAACCAATGGAGTATTTTTAATGACCTGTGTGGATTCTAAATAATTCATAAATACATCTGATAATAAAGGAAAGAGACAGCTACCCATGGCTAAGCCATCAAGTTGTCTGTAATATTTATTGTTGAAAACAAAAAAAATCTTGATCTAAGCAAGTTTGTAATCGTTGGACAATGGAGTTAGTAGTAGACAATATAGAATTGGTTCTCAGAAAAAAATGAACCAATTTAATGGTTTCTTGTTTAGGAACGTAAGTGAATAAATTGCTGACATCAAATAAAAACATAGTAGTGTTTGGGGAACAAGATTTATTTGTTGTAGGTTATTGACTAGATGACTGTTCTTTTTGACTGAGAAACGAGGGGTAAAGTTCCTCATGTTGTTAATAAGATTTTGTATCAATTTGGTAAAATGGAATTTTAAGTGTTTATGAAACTAACAACTGGGCAAATAGAAGTGTTAGTGGGTTACTGGGAAGTTTGTAGTATGGGGCAAAATGTTGGGAGAAACATTCTGTAAACTGTTTAATATTCTTTTAATTTATTTATTTATTTATTAACTTTTAAGGGATTATTTATTGGGAATGAAGTGAAGTTTTTATTAGAGAGAAAATTGGAGACTTTGTCATTGTATAAGGTTTGATCTAAGATCCCTAGGCAGTTTCCTTACCAAATTTGCTAATGATTAAATGATTGGATTTGATTTTGTTTTTAATGGATTTAATGGTATTTAGGTGTTCATTGCGTTTGTTTAGAGAAAATTATGGAAAATATGTGTGAAATGTGTATTTTGAGAGGTGAAAGGAAAGGTAAAGGATGATGAATTTTTGATATTATTTAATGTTGAATACTTTTAAGTAGAAAAATGTTTATTTTTGAATTTTTTGATGGTGTTAAAACAGGAGTTATTAATTGATTTTTTTTTATATAAAGAGACAAAGAGATTTTAAATAATAATGTATAGCTCAATAGAGAGACTCTGAAGGTCTTTTTCAGAAACCTTACCAGGAATGGAATATTTAAGGCCTAGATTTAAAAGATTAACGTCATTTTTATCAAAAGGTACTTTGGAGAGATATTTTAGTGTTCGTTAAAAAGAAAAACTAGAGAATTTAATACTGTCAATAATCATTCACTTAGACTACTGACTAACTGAAATTCAACTACATGAAGCTATATTAGTTATAGGTAGAAGTAGTTGACGAAGTGATATGATAGTAGATATGATAATACTAAATACATTAACAATAAGTTCTAAAACAATACTTACCTAGCTAACAATGACATGGCTATTGGTATTATGCCCATAGATCGACTAGCGACCAAATAGTCCTGTGCTGTCTCTGATTTCTTGTATATTCCGAAATAAATACCTACTATAAGGCTTATTCCTAGCATTCCAATGAAGGTTACGTAATCTACCCATCCAAAACGTTGCATGGAACTCCCAATATCACCAACAGCCAATAGTTTCTCAGTCGTCATCGTGATAGGTTTGTGCAGTTGGCAATATTTTATCTCAATTTATTTGTTTATGTTTTTCAAACTATAGTTTGATATTAAACTAATAGTTCTGGTTCACAAAATTACTTTCGTTTGGTCGCTTATACCTAAAATATGTTTCTAATTATCTAGAAAACCAAAATACAATTATTTATTATTGCAGAAAGTATTGAGTGAAGAGATAAAGAAAATCAGTTAAGAAATATAAGCTTAAGACGATTATGATGTAGAAGCCTAATGGAGAATTCATATAAAAAAAAATATCATTATGGTAAAAAAACACGAAAAATATTTTAAGACTATTCAAAATAATTTGCTATTTTTTTTTTAAGTAAAATAAGAACTTAATGAATTAGTATTAAAGTTAGTAAGCAAAAAACAAACATTTTAACTTAATAACATTTATTTATTAAATTTTGACTTTGTCTACAGAATTTTTTTAGGTTGCTGAGCCAGCAAAACATCGTATTTCCAGACCTCTTTTACAAACACTTTTCCTTCAATAACCATGCTTTATTTCAGAGTTCTGAAATAAGTCGTACTTTCTTTCATAACAGCGTCACTCTTATATTTGAACTATTTACCGCGAGATGGCGATGTGATACTTTTGTTTTTTACAGGTTAGCTCAGCAGAAACCCTTGAAAGTTAAAAAATTGTGACAGAAGGGATTCGAGTGGACCTAGAGAACCCAGAAGACATTAAAAAAGGGATAGACGCTATCGCGGACAAGATGGTAGCATGCAAGGATGAGAAAAAAACAATAGAGTTTCATAATGAAGACTGACGTAGTAAGTATCACTAGGACCATAGTAAAAGAATGAGACATCTCGGAAATAACAGGAGCAGTATTTATCATCAAGAACGACGAGGACAACTAAGCCATGGAAAAGGTCGAAGCAATCTTTCCGCAGCTACCAGGTGCTCCAGCGGAGGAGGGCGACCTGGGAACTATGAGAGTCACGATATCTGCTCATAAAGATGAAACATGGATCCACAAAGAAAAGTATGGATTTAAACTTCTCCCAAACAAAAAGGAAGAACCTGTGCCGATGAGGTACCTAAAAACGTGCAAGAAACTGGTACAGAAGATTGAGTGGACAGTCTCTCAGGGATCTGTCTTGAGCACGACACTATTGAACCTGGCATATGACGGGAGAGAGCTAGAAGTACAGATATACGACGTAGGTGCAAGGTGAAGAACATAAGAACTGGATAAGGAATAGAAAAGTATAATGGAACATTCATATAAGCCGAACAACAACAAATAGAGTAGTAAAGACGGCAAGAGACGGTTCCCAATAGGAAGACGATCAGTAGGAAGACCAGAAAAACGATGGAACAACTTACTGAAGGAACATTAAAAAACAGACAGAGTCATGTCTACATAAAAAAAAGAAGAAGATAATCTCAATTGGACTCATCCATTTGAAAAAAAAAACAAAAAATAAATGGTTAAAATGATGGAGACCACAATCTCAAAACAAACTACGACATCTTAAAATCTGAGACATCTTAAGTAATTACTATTTAATGGGGAATAATCCAGAGTTAAAAGTTAAAGTAAGTTTATTGACGTTTCAATTTCCACTCCGGAAATCGTTCTCAAGGTATGAACATTAGTAAATTAAACAAATTTTGTTTTTTTGTTACTTGGTGAAAAGTTCTTCTAATAATTTAATTTTATTAGACTCATTTATATTGACAATTCAGACATACATTATACATTTTAAAATAAACTACTTTAAAATGATATTGCCAATATTGTTGAGTTGCGTTCCTGGGACTACTTTACTTGTACGTTAGTTCATTCGATTACATGAAATTAAATCTTAAGTAGTGGGAACTAAACTTAACAAAAGGTAGCAAGTTATACCCTACAAACTGAGAATCCGACACAGAAGAGTAACACATGAATAACTTAAAAAAAAAGAACCCTGCAGTAAGTGAAACGCCAAAAAACTATAAAGCGTACTATTATACATTGTTCCTAACTCTTTCTTCTTCTTCCATTCTTCCTAAGAAACTACCAAGCTATTTAAGTGATAATGTGATTGATGCAAAAAATGTACAAAAATATTTGAGTTTGTTATTTGTCTATTTCTACTGTTGCTTTACCAATAACCAGGTATGGTTTATAAAGATGAACGAATAAAAAATATAATAAAAAAAGTTCATAATAAAATAGCTTTTAAAATAATCTCAAGAATTCCAGGAATAATTTAAAATGTTATTGATTATATTTAACTTACAAAAAGGAATGGTCGTCTTAATTTGAAACTTGATCCACTATGTCTTGAGCAAGGCTAATTCATTTGAACATCACTTCTCTCAATCACCAACAACAATCACAACTCAGTTATACAAAGAATTATCTTTACATTTAAATCGTAACAGCCAGGCGGATGTTGGAGATTTAAACCACTTGTCCAATTGGTTCAATGTTTTTATTGTGTGAGTGTATATTTCAGTTGCATTGATAGTGTTATAGGAAATGAAGGGGAAATGCTATAAATTAAAACGGCTATCATAATAATATTAACACTTGCTAAATCTGTTGGCATTTGCAAAGATATTAGTCAGTAAGAAATAGTTAACTTATTATAAATATTCCTTCATGTGATCAACAATAGGTACAACTTTTTAAAAATAATACATATTACTTTATTCGTAATATTTTATCAGTGTTTTGATTTGAAATTAACGACAAATTAAATATTATTTATTTTTGTTCAGAACCTCTCTTCAGAACATATAATTTAGTTATATTTAAAAAAAAGCTTATTATTAGCTCAACTATACTAAAACATTTTTTAATTGAAGGTGATTACTTTGCAACATCGCACTTAACTAAGCCCTTAACGATAACATTTCAACGAAATCATATTTCACTTATCAATTTTGCAGAGGCGTACCAAAAAAAATTTAATTATTTATTTAAACACATAAGTAATTAATTCAATCTAAGACCGATATAGTTATTAAATTATCATGTGTCTTTTAACAGGTATCTTATTCGCTCCGTGCGTAACCATGGTAGGGGTACCTTGAAACAATGCCAGCGTGCGTAGCGGCGAAATATGACAAAATTAAACCTATCTTTTACGCATAAATTTTATCAAAAATGGGTGCAAATACATGTTGCGTATTTAATTGTGCAAATAATAGCAAAAATAGTGAGTGTAATTTTTATAGATTTCCAAAGATTACATATAAATTCGAGAAAAGAAAAAGATGATTTCGTGCTATTAATATGAAAAAGTAAATATCACATAATTTCATTTTTATGTAATTAAAATAGGAAAAATTTAAATAAATAACCTTAAATGATATTTCATAAGGTTTCAAGCCAACTACAGCCTGCCTGATGACTTTAGCTTTTATATCATAACTTTTACTACTATTGTTTTTAACTATATGCTCTTCCACATGAAAATCTTAATTTGCCAGTACTAGATTTTTCCCTTTCTTTTCCGTTTGGGGTTGCAAAGATAAATTATGATGACCCATATTTTTAGAAACCCAGTTTTAAATACTACATTTATTTTGTACATAAACTGAAAAAAATATAATTAAAAAACTAATTATTCATAATTGTCAATTTCGTATATATTTAACATATTTTTAACCTCAAATTGGGAGGTCCAAAACTCTCAGATGAAGGTAATAGGTCAGTCAACCACGGAGTGAATAGTTGTTACACTTCATTCTCTATTTATAGAATTGCTGTCTGCTATGAACGTTATATTTGTTATGTTTTAACTTGAATTGAATTGATTTAACTATTTATTTAAATACATAAGTAATTACATAAAAATTAAATTTAAGACCGATATAATCATTATATCTACAGGTATCTTATAGTTGTCTAACAAATTAAAGTAAAATTTTATTCTTATTAGAGAGTACCTAACATAGAACTTCAAAAAACAGAAAACTTTGGAAAATACTTATTTTTTCATTAGACTAAACAATCTGAAATTTTAACATACGATCTCGTGATTACACATCATTCTCTATTTATAGAATTGCTGTGCCCTGTAAACTTTATATATTATTTGTTTATATAAACATTAAAATATATTGTTCGTATAAATTAAAATGAATTAAGCTAAACTATTATCATGTGAATGCGTGTATATAGTAGTGCATTTGTTTATTTCAGTAAATTGTCGAAATATGAAATAAAGATGGCACTAACTACTAAAGAGTTAATAGCTTTGTTAGAAGAATACTCAGATTGTGAAAATGCTGACTCACTTAAAGTGTTTTATTTGCCGCCGAGATTGATGATAATATTATTTGTGAAAGACATTGATGATAATATTATTTGTGAAGAATCAATAAAATCGGATATTGTAAGTACATATGAAATACAAATAAATTTGAATTCTGATTATGATATCCCTCTGAACCACAGATAAAACGTCTAAAGAAAAAACCAGTCAAAAATAGTAGATCCAAATTTGTTTTTAAGTTGTAACAACAGATACTTCTTCGTGCTGCTTTGTGCTCAGTAGTAATTCAACATCAGTCTGATTGATATTTAGACAATATAAAAGCCAACAATGGAGTAAAGTCATATATTGAAGTTTTTTCACTCGTTTTTAATAAAGAATCATTCTATATTTAGATAGCATTTATATTCTGTACATAGAAGCATTTGATAAAGAAGGTTGAGAGCATTCTATACTTTACAAACATTTATGCATCGTAGAACAACCGTCACGATTTTGAAATAAATAACATAGATTTGTATATTATCTGGTTCACACTCTGCTTCAAGTTGATATACATTGGTCAAAAGATGAAGATAAAGAAGTGCACATTATAAGAGAAAGCATGAGCCGACATAGATTTATATTTATAATATATAATAGTAAAGAATCGCTACCGCAGTGTCAAGCTTAGTACATGTACCTCAATCTAAATTTGCTTTACCAGATTCGACAATTGGCCACATTACAAAAGGAGACGATAGTGCAAGAATGTAGGATATGCAAAAGTACTACTATTTATTTATCTAAAAGGTGTAGAATGCATCTACTCCCGAATGTTTCGAAAATTTTCACCTTGCAATTTAATTTACATTTAAGATGCAATATGTTCCTGTATTAAAAATTGTACAATTTTCCTTAAAAATGAGAAAAAAATCTTTTTTGTTGTAAATTGCAATCCTTTTTTAATATATTTGTCTTTATTCCAATCTAATAAATTAATTGACAAATTTCTCTCTGTATACTGACCGGCCGTTAACGGGTTAATTTTTAGGGTTTAGAAGTGATAGAAATTATAATACTAGTGTCAAACAACGTGGTGGAGGAGTATTAGTAGCTGTGGCCAAACATTTGGAAGTGTGTGAGGTTTTTGTTCCTCAAAATAGTGTTGAGCAAATGTTTGTTTCACTTAAGTGTCAAAGTCAAACTGTTGTATTTGGTGGTGTTTATTTACCTCCTGCATCTGATAGGCATGTATATATAGAACACTGTGATAGTATTGAATATATATATAATAAGATTCCGGATTGTAAATTAATAATTTGTGGGGATTATAATTTACCTGATGTAGTTTGGGTTAACAGTCTTTATGGTACCACGGTACAGGCTAACCAAAACTCACCAGCTAACGATATATGTAATATCATTAATATTTGTGACTTATACCAGGTCAATACGATATCCAACCGGAGAAATGTTTTTCTTGATTTAATTTTTTCTAGCTTTCCTGATATATCTGTTTCTGTACCTCTGGATCCGTTATTTGAGGAGGGATTTCATCATACACCAGTCAATTTTGACGTAATTATTGATATAAAAGAATCTGTCCTTAATTATGAAGAATACTATTTTGACTTTAAAAATGGTGATTATGTTGCTTTAAATAAATACAAAATGTACAACGAAAAATTATATTGTTATCGTTGATAATTACTATTTAACTGTTGAGATCTATTTTGTCCAAAACCAAACCTAACAATGAACAAGAAAGGACAAAGTATTGCAATTATCAAATACCTTGTGAATGCGATCAGTTTTAGTTAGGAGAAACATCAAGGCCATTTAATGTTAGAATTAGTGAACATCAATCTTATATTAAAAATAGAGAATTTGATAGATCTCAAATATGTAAACACGCATGGGATAATGAACATAGGGTTCATGAACATGGAATAATTCAAATGTAGTCCTAAAAGAAACGGATGGTAAAAAAAGAAAAATCAAAGAAGCGGCTATAATTATGCTAAATGATGCCAATTGTGTCTCAAATTCCTCGGCAGAATGTAGTAGGATCTGGTTACTAATATTGAAAGAGGAAGTTATTAATAAAAAAAATACCAGTATTAGTAAGTCAGTAACATATAGAGGATACATCATTTATGTTTTTTAAATAACGAAACATATAAAATCAAAATTTTGGTGTTTATTGAAGGTAATTAAAATGCACGAACAAATAATACTTACCATGTCGGGATAGTATTATGAGGTTTTTTTTCCTGGTTTTTCCCTCATAATTTACTATGATTCCATAGTAAATTATGAGGGAAAATTTTACTGTCATCATGTCATGTGTTTGTCTTTTTAAAGACGAATTACATGCTATGATTTTTTTCTGACGGATATTCTCAAGTTAAAGTTGATTTCATGTAATCGAATGAACTATCTTATAAGTAAAGTCGTCCCAGGAGCGCAACTCAACAATATTGGCAATATCATTTTAAAGTCGTCTACTTTAAAATGCATAATGTATGTCTGAATTGTCAATATAAATGAGTCAGATAAAATTAAATTATTAGAATTTTTCACTATGTAACAAAAAACAAAATTTGTTTAATTTACTGTTTGTGTTTTGAGAACGATTTCCGAAGTGGAAATTGGAATGTCAATAAACGTATTTTTATCTTTAATTGTGGCTTATTCCCAGTTAAATAGTAATTAATTTAAAATGCCACAAGAAAATAGCTTCAGAACAATGTTATCGTTGTTATCGTGTTCCAGAATTTTCTCTTGCTTACGTTTTGTCTGCAACTGCGACATATTATACAGGGTGTTTCAAAAAGGTATGTCTTAAATTAAATACGCATTCTGGGGACAAAAATAAATTGATTGCATCCAACTTACCTTAGTACGAAAGTGTACACAAAAAAAGTTAAAACCCTTTGAAGTTACAAAATAATAATTATTTTTTTGCATGATCTCCTAAACTACTTGACATTTTGTAATAAAAATGGGCACATTACTTTCTTGTTCTGAAAGCATTTTTTATACAAAAGAAACAACAAAATCTAAGAGCACAGAAAAAATTTAAGGGGTATGTGCAGCCCTAAATACTTCCAAACTTTTGAGCACGTTGCAATCAAATGAATTT